TTAAAAAATGTGTTATAAAGAATATTAAAAAATTAAAAGAATATTCTGCCAAAAATTACAAATTAAATATACACTAGCACAGAAAACAAACAAAATTACAAATTTTCCTATAAAAAACCCTATTTATTTTCAAAAGTATCACTTACTCCATGTTTAACCTGATTTAATTTATAAGTTGATTTTAATTAAGATACAGTTTGTTGATTATAATTTTTATTCTATTTTTTTGCCATAGCTAAGGTAGTTTTTAATATATTGATTTGAAAATTGTAACAGATTTATGTTCATAAGTGATATTAATTTGAATACAGTTAGACGGAATCCTTCATTTAAAATCTACAGGGTAAAACGGTAATATTGCAACATTTAAAATTTTTTATAAAACGATTCATTAACATTTTTTATAGAACGATTCCTAAGAGCTCAATGAATCCAGAATTATTGAAGATAGAATTTAATGCATTGCAGTTCCCTCATAGTTACTATTACATAAAATTTGAACAAAAATTAATCAGTGGCATCAGATTTAGAAGAGGGTTTGAGGGGTTTTAACTATCAACATAAAGTAATTTGACATCTTATTTTACAAATTTGTATGACCGGATCATTTCCAATAATTTTACTGCCTGTTATTGTTTTTCATAGATTGCATCATTCACTGGTAAAAGTCCACAGACCATGACAATGTTAAGTACTCTTTAGCGGTGGATTATTATAGGTAAAATTTATGCTAGTTTTTCAGTAACTATAGATACATAATAATTATGAAAAGATTGAATCTATAATTTGACTTTCATTCAACTAAATGTGAATTTATGCAAAACCTTAAGTTATTCTGATTTTCACCCATGCTCTCTTTTTAGACTTTTAACCATGATTCTACAAAAAAAATCAGTTAGATCGTGTCGGTTTTGTAATACTAGTCAGTTAAATCTGAAAAATTCCGCTAAAAGATTCTTCAACAAACATCTAACATTTGTCACAATTACTAAGATATATTAGTATAATGATCTAAACGATTGAGGCGACTTGTCAAAAATCCTATTCACTGCAAGAAAACAATGGAACAGACTAGAAATAGCATGGGTGCTAAGATTTTGCAGCCTCTAATTTAAGCTCAAAATCACTTGTTAATTTTTTTTATCAAATTTTATATTTAGGTATTATAAGGTAACAGAACTGTGCCAAGTTTGAAGTCTATATCTTCAATGATCACAGAGCTCTTTGGATCATTTTAGAAAAAACATTCTTGTTTTTTATTTGTATTACCAATAATTCCTGAAGTTGAAACTTTGTTATTATACCCTGTATAATGAAAAAATATTGAGTTATTGCCAAAAACTGTTTGTACTGAGCTTTTAACAAAATATCTCAAATTTTGTATTTGTATTGTTATAAGTAGATTATTAGAATATCTTATATCTCAAAAATTTTTGTACATATCCAAATGGAAAAGTAACGTAACCGTAAATTATTTAGAAGTCTTTTTGTAGATGACACTGGTTCATTTATTCTTCAGCAAGACATTTTTACGGTCATCAAAAAAGTACTATTACTAAATCAAGAAAAGCTATTCTGGATCATGCAATAGAAAATCCACAAATAAGCATAAGATTGTAAATAATATATATTTTTCATAATGTTTTGTTTCTATGAGTTTTAAATCTCATATTATTTACAGTCTGTACGATATTTGTTGAGATAGAATTTCAAGAAGACCCCTGCGTCACTTTCTTGGAATTAACCGAGTTTGACACCCCAGGTAGACATTTTTTTTTAATATGGGCTCAAGTTAAAAACACTTAGCAAAGAAAAATGTTTTATTTAAATTCTATCTCAACAAATATCGTTTGACCTCTATGTAATATTATTCATTATCGTTATGTAGGTGACTAACGGCTGCAATAGTTTAATCATGATTAATGCTTAATCTGCATCAGATAGAAATTATGTTATGCTTCTTACACAAAAATACCTCTAGGGTAAACAAATTTTAATTCTTTATAGTGTGTCCAGAAAATGGTGGCCAATCCCTTAGATTTAGATAGTCCTCACAAAAATAATGTCATAGGCTTATTCAGAGCCTTCATAAATGTTTACAAGCCACGTGACCACCGAACTTAGGGATAGGTCCAACATTGCAAAGCTGGTACTGGTAACGAAAAATCACTAGATTTTGGCGTCACCAATATTAATGATTCGTTTACAATGAACAATGACAAATCATTACGTCTATGCTCGAGATAATACAATCGCTCATTGGTTGAATAGAATCTCGTGAAAATTACACCAATCATATCCAGTGAAAAAAAATTACGAGTCATGTGGCTTGTAATCATTTATGAAGGTTTTGTATAATTTTTTTATTCGGTAGAATTATTAGCTCTTAAAGTTGAGAGTTGAAAATCAATTTTACATTGAAATTTTTTGTTCCTCATTAAAAGAAGAATGAATAGATTTTGGATATAAGTTGTCTTTTTCGAAACTATTTTACTAATGTATTCAATTTTATGCACAGCTGCTTTGTGGCCTTTAGGAGTCTTGGCTTTTAAAAAAATTTATATACGTTTAAATTTTGTCGCTATTTTTAAGACTTCTTATTTCTTAAAGAGAAAATGAAGTACTTATTTGTTATCGATATAACAAACCTTTCTTGAAACAAACACGTTTAACGATAAATAAAAAAAAATTGGATGTGCAGGGGACTCCTACAAATACAATTTTGTAAAGAAAAAATCAAAAAGGCAGTTCGAAAATGATTTAAGAATACAAGAATTCTGCACGGCACTGGAAACTAGTCCACTATTCAACTGCTTTTACGGCTATTGTTATTATTAATTAATAAAATTAATTTGTGGTTTAAATAAAATAATTTGACATACCTGATGGTACAACAACTGTTCAAAAGTTTGTCCATCGACGTGTAAACACATTTGGGTCCGTCTTACTCAGTTTCTATGAACTAACGCAAATGTTGTCTTGCTTCACCATAAATTAAAACGATGTCCATCAACTCTGAGTTGCTATACACGTAAGCCATTTTTGACACTAACTACTAAAACACTATTGTAAACACTATCGCAACAACGATTGTAAAATCGGATTTCAGTATTCGGAGTCGCTAGGCCACGTGGCTCTTACGCCTATTGCTTCAATAATTTTTTTTCTCAGAAACAGGATTTTCCAAAAAAATTTTTTATGATATTGACTCCATTTCTCATGCCGCATCTATTCCCAAATTTTTTTGGATAAGTTGTGAATCACCTGTATTTCTGACATATGTTAATAATACCCCAAAAAACAACAACTGGGTCTTTGTATAGCAAAATAAATGCATAATGTCGAAAGGCATTAAATATTACATGCACATTTTGCTGCATAAATGACAGAATTTTGTTTTCATGCATTATTATTATTATTATTATTATTATTATTATTATTATTATTATTATTATTATTATTATTATTATTATTAAATAATCACAGAAACCAAAGTATCAACAATCAATTAGTTTTGGTCGACATATGTATTTGTTATACCTGCCCTGTTGATAAATTCTGTTATAAAGAAAAATTAGTGTTAATTTTCTATGACTCAAATTGTTCATGAATTCACTGTCAATATATTATATAATTTCTGCAACATTATCTGCATTAGTGCATTCTACTTGAAACAAGGTAACAATATCTGTTTTGTCTGCAAATTGCAAGGAAACACCTCTCTCCAAAATATCGTCAAGAAGTATAAAATATCTGCTGTTCTAATAATTACCCATTGGCAACCNATTATCATTATCATTATCATTATAATTATCATTATAATTAACATTATCATTATCATTATTATTATAATTATTATTATCATTATTATTATCATTATTATTATTATTATATGTCGAAAAAAGTATATGAGTAGTATCTTCATCTTTAAATGCATTTACCTCGAAAATGGTTCATTGTAACAACTACACTTTTTTCTCTTAACACAGTGTCTTAAAAATGGCAATAAAAATTAAAAAAATAAGTATAAATTTTTTTGTGTTCCAAGATTGCAGAGGGTGCTCTACTTCCGGGCAAAAAATATATTTTCAATAAGAATCATTGATGCAGGGATATTTTCTTTGCTTCCTGCTTCCGTATAACATATACAAAATTTTAATCATATGTCGATTTATAGATATTAATGAAAAACCATGTCATAAGGAGAACTTTAACACTAACTTTTAATTAAAGCATTTTTGGACTGAGTGAGTCGACTTATATTGAATTGTTTTTACTTAAGGAATTTGCGGTTGGTGTATGACCACTGTTTTCTGGGATACCCTGAATACTATCTCGTGTATTTTTATATTTCCACTGATTATATTCATTAACTGATATCTTTTTCCTTGTGTCAAATTGGGAACCAAGAGTTATCTCTTGGTAAAACTACATACTTTACTTTTTGTCTGAATCAATTAGTAATGACGTTGTTTCACAAAATCCCGATTTTCTCAAAAACCGTTATTTTTTTCGAAAAATTTGTAAGAGTAAATAAATTTTTAAAATTAAATTTCCTGTACTACTGATAAAACTTTAATAATTGGCATACTGATAAAAAAATCTATATCATTTTATGGACTCTCTACCGCTAGTCCAGCCCTTATTGGGCTTGCAACAAATTCATATTTTTACCAATTAAAGATAACAATCGCAAATTTTGTTGCACTATGTGTATGCATTGCTGAAATATTATTGTTTTTCAAAATTGAACACATCTTCTATCTCTTCAACGGTACATTCCAGAAAAAAATGTACATAACAAATCGGCATATTTTAAGATCCTCTACACGTTCCTGCTCTATGTCGGTAGAGTTATTAAACACCCTGTATATATTACACAACTTTTTTTAATATGACTATCCGAATTTAAATTTTCATGTTCAAATAATCCACCGCATATAACTGGCTTTGACTAATCCGGCCAGTATTTTGAAGCACTTAATAGCACAATGTTTTAGAGCCGTTGAAAATGTACAACATCGACTCCATAAATCTCAGGAAGAAGTTAAACAGAGACTTTGTAATTTCCATCCAGTTTTATCTAGAATAGGTCCTTGGTTACGATCTGGATTACGAATAGCTGAACAAAAGTTCAGCCAAGAAAACCAGTGGAGTGCACATGAAGAGGCTTTAGCTTTATGCAGTTCTGAAAGGTTATTTCAGACTGTCTATTTTCTAAATAGAGACCTGGCCTTTATGAGAGAGCGGGAACCGGCCTTATTAAGAGAACTAAGTAAAGACAAAATTCCAACTAGAAGTTTTTTATGGCCAACACAGATTTGGCTACCAACAAACTGGGTTATTAGAAGAAATTTTCAGGGACAGTCAGAAGTTGTTCCAACTGTTTTGAGTAAACAGGTTACTAGTATAACTACACCTAGATCAGATCCAAGTCAACCGGTGAGTAAAAATTTTATTATCAATAACATACGTACATTATAGTACAAAAAAAGTGGGTCAACCTGTCACATATTCATTGGGTATAAATTGGTTTTAAACATAGGTCCAGTAATGCTTTGTTTTCAAATTATTGGGTTTCTTTTTAAAAAATCGGTTTTTCATATAAATTTTAATAATCCTTTAGCCGATTTTGTTGAAATTTGGCAGTGTTATTTGTGGTAGAAAAGGGCTAATTTAACCCTAACTGGATTGTGGCGTCCTGGAAGGCACCTTAGCCCATATTTTTGACAAACAAATTGTGTGCCACTGACTTTTTAGAAACTTTTTTATTTTTTTTCGCATTAAGTAACTAAAAATACAACTTTTTTGTCTCTTGAATTTTCTCGTATTTTGTAGATAAAAAAAAAATCACTATTGCATGTCCCTGGGACAACATAATAAAAAATTAAAACTATCAAACTATCAAAAACTGGCATGTATCTGTTATTTTTTTCCATATCAATAGTCTATTCTGGCATTAGAAATTGTTATAAAAATTAATGCATGTTAAAAAAATTTTTGTGTTTTATTAATTATTACCTAACAAATAAATACAATAAAAAATTATTTTTTTCTCCAAAAAAGAAGCAAGATACGAAAAAATTCAAGGGACAAAAAAGTTGTATTTTTAGTTACTTAATGCGAAAAAAATAAAAAAGTTTCTAAAAAGTCAGTGGCACACACTTTTTTGTCAAAAATAAGGGCTAAGGTGCCTCCCAGGACACCACAATCCAGTTAGGGCTAAATTAGCCCTTTTCTACCATAAATAATACTGCCAAATTTCAACAAAATCGGCTAAAGGATTATTAAGATTTTTATGAAAACGATTTTTAAAAAAAAATTTGACACCCTGAATCTTGAAAACGAAGCATTACCGGACTTATATTTACATAAAATTTTCATCTCAAAGAATCACCACCCTTGAAGTTGGTACAAGTACTTAATAAACACCCTGTGTATCCTGTACATAGAACTGTTATCACTATTTAAAGTTAATAAAAATCAATAACTCCCTTTCTTTTAAGGTTAAAATTATGTAGACTTTTAAATTATGTTAGCATACTATTTGTGTAGTGTTAGTAAAAAAATTGGAGCGTGATCGGAAAAAGGGGGTTATAGTAGCTGTTGATCGTCTTCCGGTTTTTATTTATATGCGCTTGTGATTCCTTTATTTACTTTATTTTTTTCTACATTAAAATTTTAATTTTGGTTTACGAGATATTGCAATTTATTTGGATATGGAGTAGGAATTTTTTGTTTATGGTATGATTAAGACTTAGTAAACTAAAATTGGAGAAACTAGTGAAAATTTGAGAGGAGTAACAAAAATTAAATATATTTGATAGTTTTATAGAAACAAAATGGTAAAATTAATTAAAAACAAATAGTATTTAAAAAAGTTTGATAACAATTATTAATTAAATATATTCTCAATTGCATACTTTTAGGTTAAAAAAACTGTTTTTATATATAATTTTGTTCTATTAATATTATTAATTGTATACGCAAAGTGGCTGATGAAATAATCCTAAGTAAAATGTGGAAACAAAAAGATCTTTCTGTAGTAGCTGTTACATGTTTTGTCAAGGGTAATGTTAATTTTTATAAGTAATAAGTATGTATTTAATAACTGTATACAGAAAAATGTTTTGAATGTTACTTATCCACTTCTTCCCACCTGGTGTAAATTTACATATTGTGACATTTTTTTTAACTCGATTTTAAATACCACTTTAAATTGTACTAAGAAATATTTTGTAACTATTTATTTTTAGGTATTAAATATAAAGAAATATTTTGTAAACTATTTATTTTTAGGTATTTCTAGTTGAAAAAGAAATAGTACGAACAACAACAACTCGGTGGCCCTTGTGGCGAATATTTAATTATTTCCATCGAACATGGTGTTGGACCTGGAATGCAATGTTCTTTTTTGGTATAGTTTTACCATGGTGCAGTCCTGTAGGTCTCAGAGCATTATTTTCTGTAGAACCATTTATGCCAGATTTAGAATTATCTCAAATTAATGGAACCTTGTTTCCTCGTAAAAGTAGTTTGACTTCTACATTGACATCTCGGTTAATAAATCTTTGGAGGCATATTTCAAAGTCTCGGACTCATTTTGAAACAAAACCAGATACGGGTTTCATTGGAAAAGGTTTAACGAGACATATTAATAGAATTTGGAATTATTTTATTAAAGGTGTATTTGGTACTATTGGATTAGTTGTTATTTTTCCTATAGTATGCCTTGGAGTTATATTATCAAGTTTGTTTATTGCAATAACATCTGTAATCTGGATGCCAATATTAACTTTGGCAATACAAGTTACTAATGCTCTTATATATGATTTGGATAGTTCTGAACAGAAGAGAAATAGATACTTCATACTCTGCGAAGCTCTCTTATGGAATATGACTTTACAAGGTTTAATACAGCCGGTGACATCTCTATTTGTAGCAGTTATTGTTTGTCCTTTTGTATCATTCTTAATATTAGCAGGTAAGGCATGAACAATTATTCTATTTTTTCTTAAACAGGGTGTAACGGCAATGTTACAATAAACAATTTGCAGGCGGGTTATAATTTTTTAAGTCAATGTAGATGAAAACACTATTAATTAACTTAATCAAATTGTTCTTATGCACAGTCCAATTGCTAATCATTTTCCAATTGAAACTAATACAATTTTGACAGTCAACAGAGGTGAATAATAAATTTTTCCCGTTTTATAATTTTCACTATTTTCTGTATTTGTTATATTTTTATCAAACATTAATGGTACTTATTTTGTTTTCATTATATCTTTCATTTTACTTTACAATTGGGAACCATTAACAAAAATAGTCTAGTTGGTTTGATGGTTTTAGAAAACTCATTATGACATCAAAATGATGTCTTCAGACTATACCGACAAAAGCAAAAAGAAATTTGATGAAAATTTGATAGAAATGGGGCGAAATGTGTTAATTGAATAAATCCTAACTATTGGCATCAAAATTAACTGTCTAAACAAATTATTTGATGTTGAAGGAAATTGTGTATTTCAGATTTAGGTAGACTATTTCAAACAGTTTTTATAGAATGCTGCATTTTTATCTTAAATTCCAAAAATCATAGTTTCATTTTTAAATCTAGTGATAAATCTAATGGTTTTTCATTAATATCTGAGAACTGACATGTGATACCTAATTCAAATTTGGTACATGTTATAATGGAACGGAAAGCAATAAAAATCATTTTCAAACATTTGACTTTTCTTTGAAAATATTTTCCTCCGTGAATGTTTTATGAATGATCTGTTCATTCTGTACAAAAAATGCCTCTAATTAGTTTATCTTAAAATTGCTAGATTTGATGTAAAAGAGACAATTTAATATGCCGTTCCAAAAAAATAGAAACTGAAATTACTAATTGGTTGTATATCTTATTTTAACAACTATGTTTATAAGAACTTTTTGTGTTTTTGTTCCAATTGATTAATCTCTTTAAAAAAAAAAACGAAAAAAATCATATAAATATAGCTGCTAAAATATATAATAATTTTGGTATTTTAAACTTTTTTTTGGAGTAGAAAATCCCTAGAAACCACCCCTGCCACACCATAATCAGGCTAACCCGTGTAACCCTGGGAACAGTGAGTTTAGTCGCTTATTTTTATTGAAATAATTAAATTTCACACCACAAGCATGCTAACCCGCCTACTCCATATCCCAACAAACCCCTAGAAACCACCCCTACCAAACCACAAGCAGGTTAACCCACGTAACCCTGGGAACAGCGAGTTTAGTCGATTAGAACTGATAGAACTGTTCCCCGCGTCAGGTGTGTTAGCCTACTTGTGGTTTGGTAGGGGTGGTTTCTAAGGGCTATATGGGTTAGGGGGTAGGCGGGTTAGCCCCCTTTGCGCCCATAAAGACATTTGTTCAGGAAGCCGAGATACGTGACATATAAAAATTCAGCCAATTTAACCGGGAGCCATTTCTCATAAGGTTTGTGCGGGATCCTTATAAAATTCTTTAGATATTTTTCATCATACATAGAATTAATAATTTTTTAAAACTCCTGAAGTTGTCTGGATAAAGATACAAAACATTGACATCCCGAAAATTGTATTTTATTTAAATTCCCATTTGGCTAGAAATCCCACCGTACTACCAACTGCTTATAAAATAAAACTTGACACAGCTAATGTGACAAAATTTATGTAATCCAAAGAGAAAAAATATTACTCTTTGCACCACAAATTATCTCGATATTCACATATCACTCAACTTTTCAGCTTAGAGTCACAAGATTAATACATACTTCCAAAATTGTGAGCCCTATTCTAGTACTTGATTTCCCTGTTAGTTCCGGCATTGACTTAGTGCCCAAAAGAAAACCCTAAACCGACCAAGCGAGCCCTGCACTGATTTAATTTCAGGCAATTCCCTGCATTTTCCTGATTCATTTTTTAATCACGTTTTCTACTTAATGTGACAAATTTTTAGGTGTCATACCTGTAAGTAGGTACTATGAGGGAACTGTTCTATTTCAAAGTCTACATCTTCAATGGTTCTTAAGATAAGATTACAATATTTTACATTTAATCTTTGAAAAAAATCATACGACTATTAGGAAACATTTCATGAATAAATTATGTTTTTTTTAAATTTTAAATAAGGAAATTAGTCCTGAAAGTTTGTGTCCAATGTCGCTGTTACACCCTGTATTCCATTATATTGAAAAAAATATATATTTTGCTGTTACGTATTTATTTTTTTTCTAATTGAATTTTCACAAATAAATTATTTCCAGTCATGCTTTTTTTAATTTAACTTTCAAATTTAAAACAATGTTTTATTGAGTTCCAAAGAGTCCTAGGATTGTTTTTCTTTAAAATTACTAATAATAATTATTGACAATGAGCTTATATTTTTTAATCATGGTATATTAGTATTTTTCAGTATCAGTAGATTTTTTACAGGTGGAGTAACAAGATACTGGCTTCGTTTGCTTTGGGATGCCATGATTTTTCATGTAATTATTAAGAAACGGGGACGAGTTCCAGCAAGTGATAGTTTTGTAGTTAAAAGAATAGCTGGACCGGGCCTTGCATCAGATTATTATTTTCAAATTAGTCCAGAACAAGCTCTGGCAGCATTCGAAGCAAAAATGGAATGGGATGAACTTGCCGTTTATCAAACAGATATAGAAAGTACGATAATGCAACCCCAAAAGGACTTTAGTCATTTTGTGGAGGCTTGCTTTGGAAGCTTTTCTGCACAACTTTCTAAAAATGGACCATATAAGAACTTGGAGAAAGAAGCTCAAGATTTGTTAACTGTATTACATGAAAAACTGGAAAGGCGGAGAAGAGATTTGCAAACAGGTCTCAGTGTTGTAGTCAAAAGTAAAATTAAATTGTCTACTCCAGAATTAAAGGTAAGCGATAATTATAAGATTTATATATTATTATGCCTAATTTTTACCTGCAGAAATGTTCTGCATTTGTTAAGGTTAGAAGAAACTTTACAGTTAATGTCAAATTATTAAATAAAACTATTTATTACTGCTGTACTTAAGGGGTAACGCCACTCTAGAGGTTGGAAAAAGGTGATTTTCGTGAATTTTTAAGGAAAAATCGATACAAGATATAGTGTCAAGGCAAAAGGGCTTTATTGTACATGTTTTCAGGTAATATTGTGATTTTTTTTAAATGATTTGGATACAAAATGATGCCTGTAGGCTATGGCAAGCAACGGCACCTTTTTTTCAGAATGCTGTATGTCCGGTAGGGTCTTGGAACATAAAAACAAACATTTTCTTATATTTATTATATACGAAAAGCTAGGGAACATTGTAGGGAAATTAAAATATATGAATAACACAGCTCTACAAAAAAAGTGGTAGGTCCGAAAGACAAGACCATGTTTTTAGGGTCGTTGAATTTGATCCGTGTCCGTTTGATCCGATTAATTCGAAAAAATTTTGTATATTAGGATGTTTCCTATTTTCAAATAAAGATTATTATATTATTATTATTAGTTCGGGGTTGAGGTCAGTTCAAGATCAAATATAGAAAATCAATTGCTAACAAAGGAAATCTACTTATCCATACATTTTGACCTGATCAGGACAAGGTTAAGGGCAGTTCAAGCTCAAATGTAGAGCACCAATATATTTATTCATTTTTGGGGTTGCTGCTCAGGTATGCTAAAATATTTTCAAGTTGTAAACTCAAAACACTCAAGCATTTATGTGTATTAAAATTTGAATAACGAATAAGATTAAAAAAAAAGGATCTCTGAGCTTGTGACTCTAGAGTTAATTGTTTTGACATGACAAAATTCTAATATCAGTAAAAGTTAATTAAGTAAGCTTTAAACCATTGTGTCCATTTATGCTTCATGTATATTAATTTACACAGTGAGTCCATGTCGATTGAGGTTATTGAGAACAATTTTTCAAGATAAGATGATGATTCCTTGATGAAACACATGAAGTCAGTATATCACTATTATGGTATCGAGACTACTACTCACTTTTGTGGTATCAAGCTACATATTTTGTTGTCAAAAGACCTGCAGAGTGAATTTATTTCATGTTTTCTCAATTTTAATGGCAAATATCATTGCATGCAGCAAGTGGATGCTCTCCACTTCGAAAAAACTTGTGTTCCCAATTTTTCCCCCAGCTACAAGTTTTTTCCTAAATTCTTCACATAATAAAGCTTGGTTAAAACATGTATCCAAAAATCAACTTTTTCTAAATTCTAGAGTGACTTTACCCCTTAAAGAAGATAAGAACTATTATTTTTATTTATATAAAACCATATACAGAATGTTGCAGTATTCCACCGATATTTCCGTTGTTTCACAGATTGCTATTCAACAAGGTGCTTTGATGCTGGAACGTTTCTATCCTACCCATATTTTACCTAAATTAGGTTGTACCGAAGAACAGTTTTGGGAAAGTAGAGCTCTGAGTGTGGGTGATTGGGCTGGACTTGCTGGCCTTTTATATTCAGAAACTTTTAGTTTAGATATTCTTACACCATTAGCTCATACAGATACTTGCTTTAGACTTGATCCTCACCCTCAAGCTGATATAACGAGATATACTGAAATGGTACAGTGTGCTCAGCTTGGTAAGTACTAATTAATTGCAAATATGGTAGTTGATTGATTTAAAAAAGAAATAACGATATGGTTTTTATGTGGTAGTTTTGAAGTGAAGTTTTAGCAATGTGCACTATATATGGGATAACTTAACTTTAACAATGGAGCCCAGTAATTTTAAAAATAATAATTTTTTTCACGTGAACATTTTTCCAAAAATTCCCCCTCTTTGAATACAGAACGATAAAGATTTAAAAACAAATCGGGCACTCCATGCCAAATCGTTAAGGTTGAGAGACCGAACCGTTTTTAATTTTCCTTTTAGTACCTAGTAGCTTTCATGAATTTTTTCATATTTTTATTTCAACACCTTAAGGAGTCATAAGCATTTGAATATTTTGGGTAAAAAATTTTCAAATATCTGTAACTTGGCAAAAACTAAAGGTATCATATATATTTTTTTTTTCATTTTGTTTGTTTTGAGATGTAGTTTTATATAAAAAATATAAAAATAATACATTTTCTCATTCAAATTCTCGAGAAATCAATATGCAAATTTATGAGACATGTTCTTGAGTGTGATCTTTTTTTTCGAATTAAGAAAAATATGTTTCTGGCATTTTAATTGTTTACAGATAATGTACACTATTAAACCAAATTTTATTATAGAAGTAAATTGTGATGACTAATTATTAAAAATAGAATATTTTAAAAACTACTACTAATATTGTCACAACTAAATATCTAAATTAGTTATTGACATTGTGAGAAGCATTTCTGATAATGCGGAAAAATTTACTATTTTTCTGATGCTGCACCACACCAATTTAAAAATTATAAAAACCTTATCAATGTTTATTACCATAAAAGTTAGTTTGGAATATTAATAGAATGGCATTATTTTGCTACTGCTCATGAAAAAAAAAGGTGGTATAATCAAAAGATTAGCTGTGAGATGGAATATTTAGTTAATA